GACCTGGGTTCGATCCCTGGCTTGGGAAGATCCCCTGGAGGAGGGCCTGGCAACCCCCTCTAGTATTATTGCCTGGGGAATTCCATGGACAAGAAGCCTGGCAGGTACTGTCCACGGGGTCCCAAAGAGTCAGACACGAGTAAGCGACTAAGCACACAGCACAGGTTACAGAAGAACACTTAATACCCTCTAAAAATTGCCTTGAAAAACTCAGTGGAATTAAAAAAAACCTCTAGATGTGCTCGGCAAAAGATGATAGTCAAAACAGTTTGCAATTCCCCAGTAAGTGGGAAGATGCCAGCAAAGGAGAAGGGAAGCTAAGCAGAAGGTCTTGTGGTTGGAGGCGGGGCTGAGTGAGGACTTGGGGGCAGGGGGCTTCTCTACCACTTGCAGGATGAAGACCTTTCTGGGCTTATATTTCGCATCCATAACATGGAGTGGGGGAACGGGAGAAGAACGAGTGTAAAGGAGCTTGGCAAATTGTAAGCACTTGAGATATTATCTGAATGCCCTAAGGGTCCCCCAGGGACAGAAATGTTCTGGAAGAATGAAAACCAAGGCGTGTCGCATCAGAGCGCAGTCGCTTCTTGCCTATTGCGATACACGTTCCCACAGTGAGTGGGAGGGGCTTGGGGATTCATTCTCAATTGACTGTAAGGGAAGGAAACCTAGATGAGGCTCACGCATTGCAGAAATCACTTTTCTTTCTGCCTGTTGTCCATTTTCTTCTCAATTTGGGTAACATTTTCTGAAGATCCTGTCCTGGAGTTGGAGTGGAATCCTGGCAAGTCAAGGAATAAAATCCACTTTCCATCACCACTCTTGGTCTGTCCACTTTGAAAATAGATACCCCAGGGCTGAGATAAGATCAAAACAGCTGCTAAATCCACAGGCTCTCTCTCCCTGCACATCTGCCAGTCATGGGGCAGAAGTGGGAGAGGTCAAATTTAGGGCAAGATAGGTATGAGGGTTGAAGCGGTTTTCCTGAGCCAGCCAACCCTGACAGTGACAGCTGGGGGAGTTGGCGGGGGCGGGGTGGGTGTTGATCTGAGGATGATGACTGGGCTCCCCTCGAAGTTGATACTGGATCAAGTACACCCAAACTTCACAGTAACAGTTAAGCCATGTTTTTCTGGGCACAGTTCGTGGGTAAATGAGATCTTGAAAGCAGTTAGGCAGGCTTTTGTCACTTGGTGTAAACTGTGTATGTTGCAGCAACTTTAATTGGTTTTATGTCTAGAGTGAGGGACCGAGATAGAAGTGGGACTCTTGGGGGAACGGTCCTGGTGCTCAAATGGCTTGTCACATTTCTTTTTTAATCTGCTGTTCTTTTCCTTAAGGCGAGGGAGGTAATGTAATTATCTTTTGAAGACCAATGCATGCTGCAGTATGTCAGCTTGGGCTGCTCTCATAACATGGCCTCAAGTGTGGGTGGAGGGAAATGAAGTGGGAATGCAGGTGGGTCTGTGAGCTTTCCTACTCAGAAGTCAGGAGACTTTTCCCCAACAGGCTGGAGAGCAGAGAAGAGTTTGAATGGGCACAGCCCTCAAAAATCTGAATTCCTGTCCAGCTTTGCTTCCCTTGGCTGTGTGACTTGGCATCAGTCACTCACCCTCTTCGAGCCTCAGTGGCTTTTGCAACATGAGATTACTTCTATCTGGGAGTTACTGTGAGGACTGAATTAGATCCCATGCACAGGGCCCATCCATCCTGGCCTGGAGGTGGGGGGGGCATGTGGTGAGCAACCAGTCCCACCAGCTGTTATTACCAGGCCATTATTGTTGGAGAAGACTCTTGAGAGTCCCTTGGACTGCAAGGAGATCCAACAGTCCATCCTAAAGGAGATCAGTCCTGGGTGTTCATTGGAAGGACTGATGTTGAAGCTGAAACTCCAGTACTTTGGCCACCTCATGCGAAGAGTTGACTCATTGGAAAAGACCCTGATGCTGGGAGGGATTGGGGGCAGGAGGAGAAGGGGACGACAGAGGATGAGATGGCTGGATGGCATCACCGACTCGATGGGCATGGGTTTGGGTAGACTCCGGGAGTTTGTGATGGACACGGAGGCCTGGCGTGCTGCGATTCATGGGGTCGCAAAGTCGGACACGACTGAGCGGCTGAACTGAACTGACTGTCCTGAGCATTCTGAGGGCACTATCCACAGTGCAGGGTGGGCAAACCCTTGACACTCTTGTCACCAGAAGAGCCGACCCAGCCTCCCCTTGGCTGGATGGGCCCTGCACAGAGAGGACTTCATCCCATGTCACCAACCACAGAGTGAAGAATTATTTTAAAAATCCTCCTATGCACACAGTGTACTCAGCACCTCTGAGGTGCTTCTTCCCCAAACTGTGGCAATTCATCTCTAAAGACGTTCTGTGGGGCGGATGCTCACTGCCTCTTGGGCTCTGTGGGCTTTGCTGGACACAGTAGGAAAACTCCAGTCCTGAGTGTGGGCTGAGCCAAGCCTGCACCTGCCTCTTTCTTCCGAAGGGCCGGGGTCAAACCCTGAGCTGGATTCCAGCCACTGCACATCTCAGTTTACTGTATTCTTTTCTTCTTTGACGCTGTTGGTAAAAATGATATCCAGCCATGGTAAAAATGCTGAATCTAGGTAATTTTATCTATCCATCTATTCATCATCTATTTATCTATCCACCCATTTACATCTTCTATCATGTCTTATCTATATATCATCTATCACCTGTTTTTAAATGTATACAAATAAGACTGTATTTTCATTGTTCTGTACCTTTGTTTTTTATTTAACATATACCATAGACCACTTTCCTTTTCAGTGGAGGTTCATCTAATTTTTAAAGTAGTTGCATTGTTGTTGTTGCGTCACTCACTCATGTCTGACTCTTTGCAACTCCATGAACAGCAGCAGCACACCAGGCTTCCCTGTCCCTCACTATCTCCTGGAGTTTGTTCAAACTCATGTCCATCAAGTCAGTGATACCATCCAACCATCTCCTCCTCTGTCGTCCCCTTCTCCTCCTGCCCTCAATCTTTCCCAGCATCAGAGTCTTTTCCAATGAGTTGGCTCTTTGCATCAGGTGCCCTAGTATCCCCTTATCCAAATGCACCATGAGTTCTTTTACCAGTTCACTGTTGATAGACATTAAATTGTTTCGTTTTGCTATTGCAAATTATTCTGCCATGAAAATCCTTTTGCATGTATCTTGGCACTCTGTGTAAGAATGCAGGGTAAACTCCCTGCAGTGGAATTGTTAGCTCAAAGAGGATGTGGATTTTAAATTATGATACGAATCGGCAAATGGTTTCCTAGAAAAAGATTGCCCCTTTTTATGTACTCACCCAAGGTTTTCTCAGACCAGGCGCTCATTTTATCTTTGAAACATGGTGAAGTCTTCGTCTACTAGCTGGGAAGGGAGAAACCTTCTCAAGGATAAAATCCATCGGGGCAGCAGCACCACCAGTTTATGTGACTTTTATGGACACCCCTCTCGTATCTTTCACATCATTGTGTTTTCGTTTGTGCTTTATTTATTTCACTAAACACAAGCAGTCTTGTATCTTGTTTCTGTCACTGCTTCTTGGCATTTCTCTCAGGGTTTTATTAGTCATTGCTTGTTCCAGCTCCTAAAATTTCTATCACCTGCATGCTGGGGATTTGGTTGTATTTGGGAGATGATTAGAATACTAAGAACTGCCGGAGGAAGCTCGAGGTTTCCCTCCCCCTTTCTGTTTGGTGATTCAGGGGATGTCAGAGTTCTGTCCTTCCTGGGGGGCCAGCCTGCTGCTGCTGGTCTGGGACTGAGCTTGGAGTTTTGATCAGGCTGCCCCAAGCCTGATGAGATGTTGGGGTTTAGGGTTTTGTTTTATCTTTAAAATACCAGGCTCAGCTCCAAAGGCTCACAAACTTTGAATCCAAACTATTGAGTCTGGTAGAAATCACCCTAAACTTGATCATTTGAAAGCAGTACAGAAAGGGAGTAGGAAAACGCAACTGGATGAAAATTCACAAATAAAAATATGTTCTACAGAATCTCAAGCAAAATGCAGCCTTCTCTGTCCTAACAAACAGCAAGGTCTTCTTGGTGTTGAGTGGGCTGCAGTTTTTAGACTGAAGCAAGTAACAATGGTGATGTTAATTGCTGTGATTTGGGTTTTAATAATTTACCTTAAAAAAACCAGGTGGTGATTTGGTACCAGAAATGATAACTTTCCCAGGGAAGTGAGGAAGTCATATTTTGAGCAACCATGATCATGATAAAAATCCAGCCTTATGTGGTATAAAGTGATTCCTCCTTGCCCCAGCACTGAGTTAGAAGCTGGAAATAAGAAAATGGCCCCCGGGAATTTCCCTGGTGGGCCTGTGGTTAAGACTCTGTGCCTTCACTGAAGGGGGTGTGGATTCGATCCCTGGTCAGGGAACTAAGATCCCACAGGCCGGCCTACTCTGCCTCAGTTGTTGCTGAGCGCTAAGTCGTGTGCAACTCTTTGGACTGCAGCACTCCAGGCTCTTCTGTCCTCCACTCTCTCCTGGAATTTGCTGAAATTCTGTCTTTAGTTTTTATCAAAATACTTACAATTTGTAACTGAATACAAATAATTTAATTCATGTATGATAGTAATCAGAGAACCCACCAACCTTATCCTCTTAATATAAAACTGCACGTTGAAGACACGAGATAAATATCAGACGTGGCCTCACACTAGAGCCAGGTTCCTCATGGCATAGCAGCACAAAGGGGCTATTAGGCTGGGTATAAAACTGTGGCTTCAACAGGTGGTGATGTTGGAGATTTGCTGCCGCCCCCTCCCCGGGACTTGAGAGCGTCTTTGGCAGAGGGGGGAGGCTGCCTCTGGTATCTGTGGGTAGAGACCAGGGATGCTGCTAAACATCTTACAATGCATAGGACCAGAAACCCCTCCATGTCATGACACTGGGAACTTCTAGTGTTTGGACATTTCAGTATCACTTTCCAATGAGTTGCAATAAAAGAAAGAGGCATCACGATAATCACTTTAAAAAAAAAAAAACAAAAAAGAAAACAATGTTTATTAGGATATTCTGGGGCAGGGGAGATGGTTGAAGGGACTCCGTACATACATTCTATAATGCTTGAGCAATATGCTAACAGAAAATTCAAACATCACAAAGCTACTTCCAAAAGTCCAAAGAACAAAAGGCGTACTTCTGCATGGAGATGGTCTTGCGTGGGTGGTGGTGATAAAGCAAGGTGCAAAACAGCTGTGTGAGGAAGCTGCATGGGAAAGACCCCAGGAGAACATCCAGGTTCCTCAGGAAGAAGATACATGAGATGATGAAATAAACACATTATCTTCTACACATGAAAAACTCAGGAAACAGACAATGTGAAAAGGAGACCAGAAGGAAAGCTGCTCATCCATACTCTCTTCTAACTGGGGGCTTCTGCAGGGCTCACTCCACCCCTCACCCCAGCTCTTATGAGGCTGGGTATATGAACCCCTCTCCCAGGACAGAATTCTAAAATGATCCTAAAACCCAGAATCCTTCCTCTCTTCCACCTGTATTGTTAACTTGCGTGAAATAGAATGAACATAACTGAGATGTACCCTCCGGTTAAGAGTAAAAATGCACCACCATCCGAAAGACACAGGGAAACAGCCCCACTTCCTACAGCTCACAGGGCTTCTCAGCAGGAGCTGGATTAAACAAGAGAAAATAATTTCAATATCAAGGGGAAATGCAGAGGATGAGAAAACTCTTTAAAGCAAACTCTGGTTTAAAAAGTGTTTGCCCACCTCCCTTGGGGGAGAGAAAGGAGAAAAAGAGAAAAGACAGATAATTAGGAGAACTCTAAGGCCCTGGATTTCAGGTTTCTGAAACCACTGCTTCAACCCTCTGAGGACAATCAGCTCTTTCTGAATCCAGAAAAACACATCAGGAATGTCTGATTACCAGAAGACCACAGCCAAATCAGGCAGGCAATCTGTGATTTGGTTCTATCATTTCCATTCTCTTTTTCTCCCCCACCCCGCATTTCAGAAATGCCTTCAGCTAAAGCTAAAAAAATACAAAAACAAATTCCAGACCAAGCACGTTTGCACACCAGGAAGATAAAGCTGGATCATCCAGCCCTGCAGCACTTGTGACACAGAAAGAGAATGGGAGCTTTACAGATGGAGCTTTAAGTGCTGCTGGCTCAGAGAGCCCAGAGTACCTTCACCTGGACCCATGCAGATATCCTGCCAGGCTGGTGACATGTGGTAGGCCCTTACTGACTTCTAACAGCCTTACACCCGGGGCATCCACTGGGTGTTCCGATTTCTCATTCTACTCTTGGCTAGTTCTAAGATCCGTGCTTGGCGGACAGCTCTGGGGTCTCCCTTTCCCACCAGCACCATGGTTGATGCCTGGCAGCTGGGACTTCCACTGGCCTGTGGACTTGGCCATGCTCACAGCCCCTGGAGGCTCAGAGGGGTGACCCCGTTGGATTTTCCATGTGGCCTTTTGGGTGCAGGCTCAGAGTGGATATATCTGCATTATTAATGATGGGTGGGGTGGGCAGGTTGTAGGCATGTGGAAGGGGACTTAACTCTTACAGACTGAGTCTGAAAAACAGCTTTATGGACTACCTACAAAGACAATTTAGAGTCTCCAAAAGATAGCAGAGTGAAAGGTTATGCCAATCTGGAAATGATGGTTATTCCCTTAAGCTGCAGTCACAGGGCCTTATGCTCTCAACTTACACAGCTTTGGCTCCAACTGATGGTTCATTCAAGCACAGTAGATGTTCCACACACATGCTGAATTGTTCAGCACCTGAGTTTGCTTCTCAGGATGCTGGCAGAGGCTGCATCCCTGGGGTGGGTCAAGACTGGTGGAATGGTCCATCTTTCTTGCCAGCATCCTGCACTTAAAGCAGGGTTAAAATATCAGCAGACTCACTGGCTAATTTCCCACGAAGTCGACCCCATGTGGAGTCCTGTCCTTTCTGGAGACGTTGGCCCATCACGCTCAGCTCTTCCTGGAGACAAGTGCTAGGTTTTCATCTCTCGGCAGAAAATGAAGCAGACAGATTGAAAGTCACTTTGATTTTAATGCTTTTTTTTCACCCTTTCTCCCAGGTCACCCTCAATAGCTTCAGGAGGATACCTTGCAGCATCTTCATGGCTGCAAGAGGATGTTAAATGGGCCAGTCCTGACTACTATATTACAGAGGAAACCCTTTGACGTCCTAAAGTTTTTCATTCACCCAGCAGTGTTTAACTTCCTGCTATGGGTCATCGTTTCTGCTAGGGAAGCTGCTAAGGTGAGCAGAAAAAAACGTTAGAAAGAAGGAGGTGATGGTCTCTGGCCAATCCCTTGGCATTTTCTGCAAAACAAAAAACGGGGATGGGTAAGAAAGCCGGGCCTGGGATGAAGAGAAGAAAATCGGAGAAAACCTTCTATTGATGCTGGTGCTGGGTCTGGCAGCTGCCCTTGAGCAAAAATAAACTCCCGGTGGCAGTGGGACAAGATGCTGAAGCAGGCACCTGCCAGCAGCAGATCCCGAAGTCGCAGCTGTGCTGGTCAAATGAGCCCGGAGCCCTCAGGGGGCTGGGAGCGCCAGGGCTGCGAGCAGGCTGACTTCTCTGCAGGCAGTTTATTGAAACAGGGCTTGCGTGCTTTCCCCACCCCTCCGGGCTGGGTCTCAGAGCAATCAGAAGTGCAGGTGGTGCAGCCCGCTGAACGACCCGGGCTATCTCCGGGAGGGAGGAGAAGCTCGACAAAGAGCTCTGGGAGCAACCAAGGGATGCAGCAGACAAGACAATAGGAGTTCAGAAGAGGGAGCTCGGGAGAGGGCTGGCTGGATGAACTTTCTACTCAGGGATTAGCATCATCTTCAAATCGCCCGGCTCCTCAGAGAGACTTCTCCGGCTTCAAAAAGCCAGGGTTACGTGTCAAACCAGCATCTGACTGAACAGGAATTAATTTGGGTAGGACTAAATTTAGAATGATTACAATGAAGAACTGATGGGAAGGGACTCTGTTAATTACTTGGGCAATAAGTAACAAGGGCGGGGACTGGGGTTATCAATAATCAGAATGCAAAAAAAGGGAATCAGCTGGTATCTTAAGTTAACAACCCTTGGGCAATGAGCTGCCTCACTGAATACATCCCAGGATGGAGGCAGTGGCCAAATCCACAGATTTAAGGCCTCTGCAATGAGAATGAAGTTCAGAGGTATAGTCGTCTTGAAAATCCTAGACAACAGACTTCAAACAAATGGTTACTTGAGAATAAAAGCTGTGTCAAAGTCAAGAAGTATCAGATAAACACACTAGATGCTTATCTTAGGGAGGAGAGAGAAACATAGCTGGTAAGGGTGTCTAATAAAATTCCCAGCTGTTTCAGAATTTCGCAAAAGGAATTTCTTCCTCTGTCCTTGAGATATTAGCTCTGGCTTGCTTTTTGCAAAGGGACTGGTATCTAATTCAGGGAACTCTGGCTGTTTGGTTGGGACAAGTTTCCTATTTGGATCAGATAGCACACATCATTCAGCCATAGCACGTGGTCTCTTGTGGCACCTTGATCTTTGCTCCATCTCTTCAAACTCTCCAAGCTCAGGCCCTTTGGCCAACATCATGTTTGGGCCGTTGATAATTCACTCTTGTGTGTTGTCATTGCTTTGGGGTTTTTTGAAACGGTGGGTCTGACATGGTCTTATTTGTTTAATCAAAGAGCAGAAGCAATAAAGATCAGGGCTGTATGAATCCAAGAGATCAAGAACAGTTTGAAAGAGAATGAGAAACTGTGCTTTCATTTAAACAGGCATTTTCTGGCCCCACAGTTTATTGACTTAAATACTTATTTTCCAAAAGACAGCTCCTTGGAGGCCACTATTTTGTAAATAATAACAACAGAAATACATGTTAGCTGGATTCTAAGAAAAGAATTTGCTAATTATATAAACTCCCACTGCTCTTACATCTCTTTTCCCAAGCACTTAACACTGATTCAGAAATGCTTCCGCTCCCCCACTTCCCTAGCTCAGCAGATGGAGTGTTTGGGAGTGTCTGATTTAGACTACAAAGGGGCAGGTGGGGGATGGGGATACAGCTGGAGACAACCCATCCTTGGAGCATGTGCAGGATAGGAACAATCTTAATATAGACCAGATCAAAGGCCACAGCAGCTCTTGAGGAGCTGTGGCCTATATTTGATGAGCTTGAAGACACAGCTTCTAAAACATTTCTTACTATAGGATTAAGAATTTAAAAAAAAAAAAAAATTTTTTTTTTCCCTAAATGGAAACCACATTCCTATCACACTTTGGATACAGTTTGCTATACTTAATGAAAAATAATCTGTGTCATTCTCAACTTACGCTTTTTCTACTAGAGCCTTGGAAAAAATCAAATATGGAAAAATAAATATTCGGGTGGCATTCTGAATTTCCTCTCTTTATTGTGCCCTTCTTCCTTCATGTGCTCTATTTTAAACGCTCCAACACCTCCAACACCTCTTGGTCAAAGATACTCAACATTCTCAAGTGGACTGTATGTGCTTCTAACTGGTTTTGCAATCTTGCTTTTTTTTTTCCTCTCTGAAACGAGTGGGGCACGGCTAGACTTGATTTGGGGGCCATTGGTCTCCATGCACTTAAGTTACTATTTTATGTTTTGCCAAAATCAACTATGAGATGCTTTCTGCAACAGGCCCAAACCTCAGCAAACAGTTCTTGGATTTTGGTGGCACCTTCAATGCAGGGCAATGAAGGACAGGAAGTAGTGAATCATTTTTTGCTTTCAGTGCTGCCAGAGGAAGCCAGAGAAGATAAAAGGTTTGGCCTGTTCCAGTACTGGGGCAAATGATCATGTTTCTAGGTCACCATGTTAAACTGAGATCACCCCAGATGGTATAAACACTTGCTTGGCAAGATTTTTCTTGTTTTGGTCGACTGAGAAGCAAGTAGGATCTTAGTTCCCTGACCAGGGATCAAACCCACACTCTATGCAAAGGAAATGTAGAGTCCTAACGATTGGACCACTGAGAAAGTCCTGGCATGATTTTATAAGAATCTCTCTAATGAGTTGTCGTGGAACATCCTTCCCCCTGTTTATTTTGTCAGTAATTTATTTTCAGACTGACGATTTGGTAACTCTCATGTGCTTCTATCTCTGAAGAAAAATGCGATCTATGTTGGTGAAACATGAGGCTGTTTACAATTTAATTTATGTGTTGCACATCCACGCATTCTTCACTGAAGGCTACCCTTGTTAGCTCTGGTAACTTCCATTTCCTCTTTGGTCATCTGAAGCTAATTAGAGACGCTGTTTATTACAGAAGTAATCAATAGTTTTCTACAGTAGATTACATAGAATCTGACCTCTATGCAATTAGTCCAATGTAGATACACAGATACTTTAATTAAAACAAAATATGCTTTGAAGAGATATGTTTTCACAGATGACTGGAATTCCAAGTATTTCAACACATTTAATGTGTTTATTCAAAGTACGAGTCTTTATGAAACCTTTCACTAGTCGAATTTGTTTGATGAATTTCCCTTGAAAACATTTTGAAGTGAAAAAACTCGGTACTTAGTATTATACATTTATGTTTATTAACATTTGGATATAAATGTACTTCAAACACCAACAGAGCTAAAAGACTATGCCTTCATCTTGGGTTTAACAGATTTCCCACCCTAGTAATTGGATTAATTCTTACAAGGCAAAGGGAATCATCCGTCGGCAAAGGGAATCAGGATGAAATGAGCACTGTGGGTTTCCTCCTCCATCCACTCTACTGATGTCGGAAGAAAGCCAACGCTTCAGACACTCTATTGGGTGGAATTTCCTCGCCTCTGTTCAGCTGCAAAGAAACATGGCTACTAGCACTCGATCCTTGTAGATTTCAAACCTCACCATTTCAACCAGACTTCAGAAGTGCACTTTCGGGGCTATTCACTGAAGGAAGAGAATGATGGAAGAGACGTGCAGTTAACAAGTCAGATGCCTTATATCCAGAGTCCCTGTTCTGTGTCTCTGGGCCAGCTTATCTCCATGGACCTAATGGTGACCGTGACCCTCTTGATCCCCCAAACATTTTTTCTTTTTTACAGAGTCAGTCACAGTCTATCACGGAGGACACAGAACACAGTGCAAGCAGATATCTGATGACTTCAGACCAAACCGATCCACAGAGCGGCCAAGCCATCACAGTTGAAAGTCAAGACAATCCTTAGGAAAAGAGCTGTGTATCCTGGGCATGGATCTGCTTCCGAAGACAGGGCAGCATGTCCTGTCTCCCGTTCCAGTCAAAGCTGCCATTGTCAGGTAACATGAAAACCAAGGTCCTGGTTTGTGTCAACTGGCAATGGTGCCATTTGTAGAGTTTGCAGAACACTGACGAGTGGCCACCAGTTTTCCCACAGGTATGCACGCTTGTGTTTCCAGAAATGATAAAAGACAATGCTTGGCTGCTCTGTTTCCTGCTGCCTATCCACAGTAACGTGATGCAGAGCTTTCTGCTAAAGCATGAGGCTCCTCAGAGTCTGCTGTTGAAGACCTGTCTTCGAGAAGTCAACATCGGAGCTAATGCTACTTATGTAAGGACAACAAGCTCCATGTATTTTGTATTAAACCACCGGTAAAAAAAAAATGAAGACAATATCATTACATTCAAAATATAGAAAGTCAATAGTTGAAATCATTTAGTAGTAAAATTTTTTTCTACATATAACCTCATACATGTAAAGATTATTAGCATGATGCTTCAGCTATATTTGACTCTTGTTAGTGTAAGGGCTTCTCACTCAAGTAAGGCTTCGGAGACTGTCTCAATGCTCAAGGTTCTGTGAAGTCTCACACCCACTCTCATTCTCTATTTTGACTAGGAGACAGACACTACACTGGATGTAGCAGGTGTTTTTTTGTTTTCGTAAGAGAGTGCAGAGCTGTTTACTGTACATAAACATCAGCGTGGAAAACGCTAATACATATAGAAAGAACACTGGTACAAGCTTGTTTGTACAAAGTCCATCAAGATTGTCTTGATGAGAATCTTCGCTTTGTGACAAAAAAAGTTTGGCCTCCACGTACCACTGCCGTGGTATGGTCATGTCATCAAAAGGCAAACCTACTCCAGGAGATATAGAAGATTCTTTAGGAATACTGACTCCTTCTCTAGCTAGTCAAGACCAGAGTGAAACTGTTAAAAATCATCATCCTTATCAGGATCTTGAAAACCAAGGCTGCAGTCTGCTTTATAGCCACATCAACAATAAACCATCCCTTTACAATCCAACGTGCCCCAAAGCCTTCTGAGTGTAGAATGTAGCACTGTATCTGGGGATCCCATATAAGCCTTAAGGATCATAAGAAGCTTTCTTAGGAAAAAAAAAAAAAAAAGAAAGAAAGAAAAAAGTTCCAGTAGGATGAAACTGGTTTAGCAGTGTCTCAACTGAGCTCCTAAAACTGGAATTTCGGATATACAAGAGGACAGGAAACAGATAACTTGGTTTTTGTCTTTTTACAGGTCCATGTGATTCTGTAAACGCAGCTACGATGCTTCGGCCAAAGATAAAGACAACAGGGTGGACAGGGCAGTTACCACCAGGGCCAGCAGTGCGCTCAGACCGCAGCTTGGAGCAGCAGCCATTGATTTTGTGGTTATGTGGCTGGAAGCCCCAGCGAGACCATCCTTTTCATAATCACGCTGTAAGAAAGAATGTTTTCATTATCACCCACTGCATGTGTTTGTTCTATCACGGCATATTTTAGCCTCACTCTTTCTCTCTCCGATCCCTGCCCCCAACTAGCTGTACGGTTTACCAAAGCCAACCCAAGATTTTTACCCCTGCTCCTAAGGTCACCCATCAGCTGTGCAACACGGTACCATTCTCCCTTTGGGTATCACTGACTGAGGAGGGATGCTCGCTCTCTCTCCATCATGAAGGAGGGCAGGAAGAATCACCTCGGGAAGCCTGCCCAGGCAAGTAGGGGTTCACGGACAGATGAGTCACAAACTGCACTGGAGCCTGGCAGTAGCCTTTCCCTCCACTGGCTGGTTCCACCCTGGACTTTACAGGTGGAGGATTTGCCCTGCTTGTCAGTCAGAGTCCCAGCCAGGACCCAGGCTCCTGGACTCTCAGTCAGCACAGCTGTTCTTCCTCAGGATGGATCCCTTCATCCCCATCCCTAGGACCTGCTCAATCCCAGAAAACCACATCCTGCCACCATGAGCTATAAGTGTAAATTGAGGAGGGTAACGTGGCCCGCACTGGCTACTTCTGGGTCGCTGTGAAAGTCAAAGGAGCAGTCTAGGGGACATCTGGTAAGCAGCAAGAGGTGTTATGTATCTTCTCTGTGCCGGTTGAACTTATGTAACTGTGGTCACAGAGGTTCTCCTGGTACCGGGACAATGGTATCTGTGCTGGTCCAGTTCTGAGATGAGGATCCCACACTTGGCGCTTGCTTTGTACACCAGGATCTGCACCTGCCTCCAAGGGCAGAGGGACACCAAGGGAGACTCGGATTTTTTCTGGGCCTGAAACCTGGTTGTCTTTGAGTCCTTTCACATCATACCCTGTTCCAGGGACCTGAAGGCTCTGTTTCTAGATTCAGGGAGACTCAGAAAGAAATAACTTACATCAGAAAGACAGAGGTGGGTACTGCCTGATATGTTGGATTTCAGCTTCTGTGCCTGGGAAAAGACAAACACACAATTATTCATACATACTATGGAAGAGCTAGAGAAGGAAATGGCAACCCACTCCAGCATTCTTGCCTGGAAAATCCCATGGACAGAGGAGCCTGGCAGGATACAGTCCATGGGGTCACAAAGAGTTGGACAGGACTGAGCGACTAAACCATTTTGGAAGAGTAGTTATTGATGATCAACAGTATAAGGCCGTGTCATTGTTAGAAATATGTGAGTCACAACCATGAGCCCAAATATAATTAAAATTTTTCTATTAATCCCGTAAATAAAGAGATAACAGGTAAAGAAAATTTTAACGACATTTTCTTTAACTCAGCATATTACCATTTCAACATGTAACCAGTATAAAAGATGATTAATGAGATACTTTTCTACATTCTTTAAACTTTCATACTAAGTCTTCAAAATTTGGTGTGTTGGGCAAAATACACCTCAGTTTGTACCCGCCCCCTCTCAAAGCCAGTGCACAGGTCACAAAAGAAAAAAGTTTTAAAGTCATTTACAATCTGTACTTATTTGTAGTTCTGAATTGTTAATGTTTATGAAATGTCTTCTAGGTAAAAACGTTGTAATAAATATTCTCATTCATCAGTAATATAGAGATAGGTCTTCCTGAATCTTGTGTATTTGTTCATTTGTTTATTAGTTGTTCCAGTCCACAAACACTTACTGAACAATTTCCCAGGGCTGGGCATATGACAAAAAGGATGTGGTCCTGGGCTCATGGGCCTGCCTTCTGGTGGGTAAACCACTCAGCGCTGGGGGCCTCAGGCACAGGGCAAGGGCCCTTTGACAGGTCCCTTCCAAGAATGGTGAAGGGTATCACAGACCCCCAGATCTGTCCATTTTAAAACTGCTTCCTGGGCAGTTATAAGTTTCTGAGCTGTGAGGGCTTTAAGCTCCCTATTTGCTCACAAATGGAACAAGTTTCCACTGGGTTTCCACCTGAGAAATTGAGTTAGAGGAAAAACTCCATTGCTCAATTATAATAAAAACTGCTGACCCAATACAGCTCTCTTGTTTTATAAAGGAAAACAAATTAGAGAGCAGAGACATTAAGTGACCTCTTCAGGGTCACAGAGTGATCTAAGTTGTAGAGTCAATATTTAGAATACAGGTCTCTGAAACTTCTGAATGAAATCGTGCTCTTTCCTGTTTTCCAGTCTTTCTCCCAGAGATCCTAGCATGCTTGACTCTTCATGTGCTACTTACCTGCCTCCCAAATCCACTCAAAGAAACCCTCCTATACCCCTCCCCCGAAACTAGGAGCCCTTTGGTAGCAAAAGACAGAGAGTTCGTTTGCCAACAGGATGGCCCTGGTTAAGCATCACACCTGAATCTAGGAGCATCTGGGCAACCAGCTCTGTGGGGATGCGCTGGCAGGCTGCCTGCTGCAGGACAACTTTTGCGACTTGTTGAAGACATGCTAGGCTGAGATCATGTTATATTCACACAAGGAGTAATTTATTGACCATAATGCTACTTGGGAGGCATCATAATCTTTACCAATATTTGCATATGCCAGCTGTGAATATGAAATCGAAACCTTTAAACAGGCATCAAGAAAAAGACACTGTGAAGCACCCCTGGGCTGTTCAAAGGTCACTAAATGTTACGTATATGAAGATCAGAGGGCAAATCAGAAGAGGGATGGAGCCTTCCTCAAAAGCTTACTTTTAATCTATATTAATAGCAAATCTGGTCCACTGCATTGTGACCTATAGAGAATAATATGTAGAACTTTGCACATTTTATTTCTTCTCAAAGCTGGAATTGTGCCAGACACCAAAATGGCCCCCAAACATCACATTCTGTCTTTTCTTTTCTAGGCGGTAACCTATAAAAGACATAAAACCTTGCTAAATACCTTTGCATAAGTAAGAAGTTCACTAAGACGTCCAGCTCTTTGCAACACCATGAACTGTAGCCTGCTGGCCAGGCTTCTCTGTCCATGGGGTTCTCCAGGCAAGCATACTGAAGTGGGTTGTCAATTTCTACTCCAGGGAATCTTCCCAACATAGGAATCAAACCCATGTCTCCAGTATCTATCTGCATTGGCAGGCAGGTTCTTTACCACGAGCGCCACCTGGGAAGCCCCTAATCTGTAAGAGACATAAAGCCTTGCCCAGGGCCTTTGCATAACTAAGAAGTTCACTAACATGTGCAGAGAAGGCAGCCTGACTTGTCTGGGACACATTAATCCTTCAATTTGCTTCTGTGCTTTTGTCACAGTTAAGCTACATCTCCGTGTCCTAGACTGCAGTGCCACTAAGATCCAAGGGCTGGCTGGGCTTCCCTCCTATTTTGTTCTAAATGATTAGCAACAGACTGCAGTGTATTTCTCTTTGTTTGCACCATCTGAGAGACTCACTGGCTACACTTCTAAGTCACTTTAGGAACCTGCTGACGTATTAGAAAAAATGCCCATCTATATTACCTGACTGTGAAGGGGCTACCACCAACGGAGTTTAAAAGGTCTTGGTGCTGTGCTATGCTTAGTCGCTCAGTCGTGTCCAACCCTTTGCAACCCTGTTGCTACTTTAACTCATTTTCTTAAATGGACTCTGCATTGACACAGGTAAATTTTGGTCCTAAACTAGTCACTGAGAGTTCAACTGTGTACAGGATTACAGCTGTACAATTGGGTAGACATGCCCTGGTCTAAGTTCCCAGGCTCTTGCCTTCTGTCTGAGAATGGTTAGAGACCAACTCCAAGCCTGTGAAGGCTCTGGGCTCTTCTTCCCTGCAAGACAGGCCTCTTGTTGGCCTCTGTCTAAAGCAAATAGTCAACTTCTGGCCTTGTCTCCCTGCAGCCCTAGGGCTTCATTAAAGCTAGAGGCAGCAACTTCAAGCTCATCTGGCTTCAAGAACTATTCTGTGAGCAGAACTGGATGAACTGCTGAGGGAAAGTAACCATGTGCCACCAGGCTTCTGCAGAGTCTCTGAGAAAATGCCCTCTCTCCTGTCAAACCCATGACCAATCCACAGAAGCACTCAGCACTCCAGAAGCTTAGCAGTCCATGTATGCTGGCTTCTAAATACTCTGCTTATATAGTGAGTTGACACTGCTTCCCATTGAGAGGTTGGGGGATCCCAGAAACCCTCACAACCTCAGAGGCAGGGCAGAGAAGACCCTGAGTTCCACCAGAACCTCATGAGAACCACAGTAAGATCTGTGATATGATTAGGACGCGGAGGGCAGATAACACTTGCATAAACGAATCAGATTGCACACAGACATGAGATCTTTTAAATCCCACACCAAACCTGGGCTGGAGGGCCAGTGGTCTGCTGCTTGGACTCAATGGTGTCAGCTGGGTGTCCAATGCCTCTAAGGGTTCATAAGCTGCAGATGGAGGGGCAGAGCCTGGGAATTTATACCTGTGCATGCCTAGCAGCTTGCATGCTTATAAGTCCTGTATTCATTCTGAATCCTTCCTGTGACCACCAAAGGTCAAAAATCCCCCTACGCATATCCAGAGCCCACTTAAGAAAATCCAGCTCTTGAAGTCCCTTGTAGAAGCCTGAGCAATCTGTTACTTCCTCTATGAAATTAAAAGACACTTGCTCCTTGGAAGGAAAGCCATGACAAATCTAGATAGTGTATTAAAAAGCAGAGACATGACTTTGCTGATAAAGGTCCATATAGTCAAAGTTTTTTCCAATAGTCATGTATGAATGTGACAGTTGGACCATAAAGAAGGTTGAGCACTGAAAAATTGATGTTTTCAAATTGTGGTGCTGGAGAAGACTCTTGAAAGTCCCTTGGACTGTGAGGAGATCAAACCAGTCAATCCTAAAGGCAATTGACCCTGAATAGTCATTGGAAGACGCATGCCCCACGCGTTCTGGCCACAGTGGGCTCTCCCAGAGCCTCGGGTGGGATCAGGCTTTGGAGCTGCACACTTGCTCTGTTTACGAAACTGGAGACTTAATAGCATACCCACTTGCAGCTTGGCTTTTGCTGCCCCAGGACTAGTGTTTAATCTTGGTTCTTCCAATGACTATTGGAAGAACTGATGCTGAAGCTCCAACACTTTGGCTACCTGAAGCGAAGAGCCAACTCATTGGAAAAGACTCTGACGCTGGGAAAGATTGACGGCACAAGGATAAGGGGGTGGCAGAGGATGAGATTGCTACATAGCATCACAAACTCAATAAATAGGAGTTTGAGCAAACTCAGGGAGACAATGGAGGACAGAGGAGCCTGGCCTACTGCAGTCCATGGGGCCGCAGAGTTGGACATGACTTAGCGGCTGAACAATGACAACAATCCTGAGTGCTTTTTAAAACATCAGCTATCACTGTCTTACTAGTCATGTCTGATAAATGCAAACAGATACAATTACAGGGCATCTCCCACTTTTAACTATTACAAAGATAATTTACATATTTTGAACATGGACTCAGTTGATGAAAACTGGGACAGTCCCAGGAAAACTGAAAACAAAACAAACCAACAAAAACTTCTGAGACCTTGCAAAGTATAAGGTAAGGTAGAAGAAATTGGGAGAGCACCATTTCCAAGTCCTAAATTGATAAAAGCAGGAGTGTAGTAATGGAACGAGTTCCATCTGCCAAGCCCTGCTCATTAAGAAGACAGAGGACTTCCCTGGTGGTCCAGTGGTTGAGAGTCTGCCTTTCAATGCAGGGGACTCTGTTCTATCCCTGGTCTGGGAACTAGGATCCCATATGCCGTGTGGAGCAGTCAAAAGAAAGACAGACAGACAGGGGTCCAACATAAAGCTTGACTAGCTAGATCTATCTAGACACCAAACCGAACAGTTTGTGGCTTTAAAATATGATTTTTTTTTTTTTAAGAGGGATACAAAAGAAGAGAATGAATTTCAGTTTTTCTAAAAGTCAATTTTACCCACAGTTCCAGCATGTTGAAAAATGAATTATTTAATCTCTTTTATGAAAGAGGGTTTCATATCACCTAATTCATAGCTATGTAGTTATGAGAGAAGCCTCCAAGTTGG